CACCTCTTGCAGCTCCTCTGAGGCCCCTGCCATGCCTTGTCCTTGCAACAGCCAGCGCTGGGATGTTGAGGTGCCTTGCTGGAATTCACTCTTGCTTTATATTTCCCTCCTGTAAAAGTCTGGGCACACCTGTGTTCCTATAGAAACAACAAATAACACTTTGCTAATTAAATCCCTGGCTTTAATTACTCCTGCAACTGCACAGTGTGAGGTAGGTGTGGAAAACAGATGTCAATTTTCTCCTGCCTTGAGCATTAATAATTAGCCCTGACCTTAGGAAACCCCACCGAGGAGGGAGCTTCAGGGGTGGCTCACACTGACAGGCAGCAGCAGCTCAAGGCAGGTCTCAGAAAGCGGGAATTTAGTCCAGAAAGATGATTTGACTTCTCAGGCAACACTGAATTCCTCTGACAGAAAAGACCACTTTAGAAACAGATATTAATGTGTGGTTTTCAGCTCGTTTTAGGGAATTTTTTATGATAATTTGATTCCAGGGCAAACTTTATAAACATATAAAAAGAGGGAAGTGGTTTTATCCAGGTAGTATCTGCATTTGCTGATATGTCATTTTGGAGCCAGAACTTCACCCCCATTTTCCCCCAAAGTAAGACCAAATTGTATGTTTAAACACGATTGTGCTACCATGAATCTGCTGTTATGCTGTAGAACTGGAATTCTGATTTTGAAATAGATTAAAAATGGGCTCACAGTGTGCACGTGCTCAAAAACAGAGGCAGGATCTGGTTGAATACTCAGCCTTTTACTTCAAAGGATATGATAGAAACAACATGCAGTCCTTGTGGTTGTGTTCAACGGGAGGTCATGGAAATAACATCCTTGAGTAGTTAATTTAGTTTTAAGTCTTAATTAATGCTCATGATTTTAATTGCTGCCTGTGGCATTACCAAAGTATCACAGATATTCTGGGCAATGTGTGCTTTTATGACATAGCAGTTCAATGGCAAACAAAAGATGAAAGAAAAGGCAATTCCCCATATAAGAAGAGCCGTGAATCACCTGTGTGACCCCTATGGTGATGTGGTGACAGTGTGTGACACCACATCACCATGTGTGTCACACAGGTGACACGTGTGCCACTCTGAGGGGCTTTGCTCGGGGCAAGGCTGAGCGTTTGGACTCTCACAGGGGCTCTGCACCGGTTTTGTCTCCGACATTCCCCTTTCCCCACATCACCGCTGCAATCAGAGAGGACAAACCACGGCATTGCCCGGGCGAAGGTGAGGAAATGAAGATGGGGACGAAGCACATTCCTGGGAGTGACACGTCCCGGCCGCCCCCGCGCTGCTGCACCTTTTCCATCTGCACCTGGGGAGGACGAGCAGCGAGTGGGCGTCCCCTGGCCCCGCGCCCGGCGCTCACACGACTCCAACACGCTGACTCCAAGAGACAGAGACGGCCAGAGCCAGCAGAGACTCCGATCCTCCAGCTCTCCAAGCTGCACGGACTTGTCTCCATTCACCAGTGGCGAATGGGAAGATAGGGAACCACTTCTCCATAGCAGCCAACTCCTGATATTCCAAGGACACATCCCACTCCTGTACTGTCTCCAGCTTTCTGCAGATGGAGGGGAGGGAGTTGTGCCCTTTGAGCTCCTCAGCAATGTACCTTTGTTCTTCCTCCCATACCCTTTCTCCCCTCCTTTGGCAACTGATCTAAGGAAGAACTTGGCTGTTGGGAAGGGGCTGTTGGGGCCTGTCTGTGGAGCCAGCCCAACAATCCACCGTGTGCACACATGAGCAATCCCTTCCCCTCCACACCCTGCACAATCATCCAGGGACACTCGGATTGCAGGGTTCTGCTGTGCTGTGGGTCAGCAGGAGAGGCGACAGCAGGGCCTGACCACATCACTGTGCTCGGTTCTGGAGCCTTTTTGCTTGCCAGAGACAATCGCTGTCTCTCCTGAAGCTCCGTTTATGTGGGAGCCATAAACTCCAAACTCCCAGTGAAGCTGTCCTGCCTGGTGACAACTGGCAGAATTGTCCATCACAGAAAACATCGCTGCTGAGCTGTGCTCCTGCCACCTTTGTGCTCCTGTTCACAGGGCTTACACACCAGGAACTTTTTCCTTATATTCTTCATCTACTTCATGCTATCCCACATTTTTCCTGGAGATCTCAATTTCTAGCTAGCTGCCATACCCTGTCCTTTTGGGATGGTTTGCTAGCACTCATCCACAAAGAACACAAACCATCCTATTACCTTTCCACGGTCCCCTACTCTTGGGTGGTCTCTGAAGTGAAGACTCCAATGAGCCCTGGAGCACAAATTCCATTTTCATTGCTTTTTCACTACTGATCATCCCTCTCTTTGCAGATAAAGGAGCAGACTTGTATTTCCAGGATTGGGAGCCAAGTTCCTTCCAGCACCATTGTACTCATGGGGCTTTGGAGGTGCATTCAGGGCCTCACAATAGGGCTGCTGACCGTGCAGGTGTGTGTGTGCAGCCCAGGCAGGGACAGAAAACTGTATCTGGGACAAAAAGCCACAGTAAAAGAGATGCTGAGCTACTCCCTCAAATGCTGCCTGCACCGCTCTGTTTCAAAGCACACAGTGCACAGGGAATTAAATCATAGCCCTGAGCAAGGAGCCTCCTCCTTTTAATCACACCTGACAATTTGCTTGGAAACGGAAGAAGCAGAAAGACGCCCTTTGTAAGAGAAAAAGTTCTACTGGAATATGACAAAAAGCATGAATAGAACAAAGGCAAAAATGACGATTCTGGAAGTTGGCTCACGTTTTATGGGTGATGAAAATCGTCGGGAATGCAAAGGAAAAAAAAAAAAAGGTGGCAACGCCTCCTGGCCGGGCTATAAAGGGCCCCGAGGCAGGGGAGCGAGCACTCGCTGCTGCTGCTGCTGCTGCCGGGCCGCCTCTCTCTCCAC